TTATGGCTCCAACAGTGGCTATTAGTTTATATAATTTTATGATTTGTAATATATTTGCACTTTAGTTAATTAATAGTTAGTGTTGGTGTTGGTTTATATAATTGGATGGTAAAAACGATGAAATATTTGACACATCATATCCATTTTCTTGCTACAATTTAAATTTAAAAACAAAGCTACCATAATCTAAAATCCAATTTTCAGTTTGTTGAAACTCAAATATAGATCTACCATCAGTTCAGTAATAAATCTACCATAATTTCGAAACAAATCTACCAGCAGTCAAAAATAAATCTAGAATTCATAGAGGAAAAAGCCGGTTTGATGCCGAAAATCTTGTCGAAGACTCGTCCACCATAGCAAAGCACATAAACTGTTAGAGAAAAACAAACAAATGTCATCATTCATATACAAATTTCAAATATTTGACTATGGTGGACGAGTCTTCGACAGGAAGGTTTGCAACTCTGGTTCTCAACTAGACTGGTGACCTGAAGTGACAAGATGAAAAAGGCCATGAAATAAAATCTGGGTTTCTAAAAATCTATTTACCTTAATGCTCGCATGAAATCTTGTAGACAACATTGGTTTTTCGGTTTGAATAAATTTAACATTCATCCAAAAAAATCATTAACAAACAAATCTACCATCAAATAACTAATAAAATTATCAATTCACATATCGTTTTTCAAATAAATCTACTATCAAATAACTAATAAATATACCAAACTACATATCGTTTTTCAAATAATCTACCTTCAAAAAGAGCTAATAAATATACCAAACCACAAATCATTTTTAAAATAAATCTACCATCACACTATACAAACTTTACAACAAAAAAAAATACAGTATTTATCATTTTTCACCAAAAAAATCTTTTGCTTTCACCGGAATCTCGTACAGTAGAAAAAAAACCACAGATTAAACAAGTTACCTACAACAACAACAAAAAAAATTAGGGTTAAGTTCTCGCCGACACCATTAAAAATACCTAATGAAATTAGTTTTTTTTTGCCACCCCCAACCACTGCATCTCCCTAGTTTATCATAAACATTAGATCCAAAAACTCATATCTGAAAAAGTTTGAAGAACATGATTTCGAAAATGAAGAAAGAAAACTCATTCGAATTGTAGAAGCTATGGAAACTCTCGAAGATCTGGATCTCCGAACTTGGAAACGTTGGAGGCGCCTTGATACAAAATTGGTGGAGCTGGTCCTCTTTATCTCGATCTCAAACACAGATGCTTTGAAGTTTAGAGAGGATAACTATTCATGCTACAAAATTTAAAGAAAACAAAAAAGAGAGGAGAGCAAGTGAGGAATGGAAGGTTGGGAAGAAGAGAAAGTGGAGGAAGAAGAAGAAGATATGGCGCCGCTGGAGAGAGTAAGAATAAATGGATTAGGTTTATTTTGGTTTTTATTTATTTATTTATTTTTATTTTTTTCTTTATTTTTTTGACAAAATGTAGTTTTTCAATCAAAAAAGTTTTTTCAAAAAAATAAATAATAATGGTATTTTATAATAAATATACTATTTGGATAAAATAGATATTTTCAAACTTAATAAAGTTATTCTAGTAATGTAGACTTTATTTTGAACATCTATTTCATTTAATAGGAGGCCGGTGAGTACAACATAAATTCAATCAGAGAGACTCATAAAGAGCTAATTTGGCCAGGGAGTCAGCCCTTCCATTCTACGATCTGCCGATGAAAGTAAAAGAAACAGAGGAAAACAAACAGACAAGAGTGTTGATATCAAAAAGGATGCCGAAGATCTCCTTGATTTGCTCTTGCTGGGTAATTGCTCGGATTAAGGTCCGAGCATCAGATCTGATGATAAGGTTTCGAAAGCCTTTCTCCAGGCTGGAATTTAGCGCAGATCAGATCGCTAGGGCTTCTGCAAATAGTGGTGATGCGACGAAGGTTGCGTGTGATATGCCTTTGTCCAATTCAGATCCGATCTGATCTTCAAAGATCCATCCCATGCCGGCGATTCGAGTGTCTTCCCTCCAAGCCGCATCCGTATAGCATATTATCGCCTCATAGTGGATTCGATTATTTCTGAAACCAGGTGAGATCGGACTTTTCTTAGCTTCTTTCACTTGAGCTTGTTGCCATTCTCTTGCTTTCGACACCCTTGATCATGGTGTCTTGGGCACTGATTTTTTGGTCTTCAAAGACTAGCTTGTTTCTGGTTGTCCAGATGGCCCAGTAGAGCCATAGGAAAATGGGTCATATACCCACTCTTGATGGTGGTAAACATACCAGTGTCTTGGAGGCTAGAAGACCATCAGAAAAATTTTGGAATCTAGATGGATCGGTTTGCTTTGCCAATGGTACTAGGTCCCAAACTCGACGAGTGAAGACACACTGAAAGAACAGGTGTTCTGTCAACTCTAATTTTCCATAGTGAATACACCCTGGATTGGTTTCAACACCCCTGTGCAGGAGGTTTTCTCCAATGGGAAGAGCTTTCTGGATTATCTTCCATAGGAAGACTTTCATTTTTGGGGAGAAAGTTCCATTCCAAATCTCCGAGTTCCAAGCAAAGATAGGCGAAAAGTTAGTCTCCTTGGAATCTTTGTCCTCCATCACGATATGATAACCCTTTTTTTGCTGAGTAAATCTCTGTCTTATTTGGTAACAAAATGAATTCATCCTATGGTCCATATGGTTTGGTAAGATCTGTTTTATCTTCTCTATGATCCATTCACCATTAGTTGTTAGCAGCTCAGATACTAAACCATCTTTCGAATCTTGAGATGGGGGTCCGATTGGTTTACTCGGAGAGATCAGGGGGAGCCATAGGTCGTGCTATATAGAGGTTTTTTTGCCATTACCAATGGCTTTTCCCAGCTGCTTTAGGAGGAGGTCCCGACCAATCAGAACTCTCCTCCAGCCATGTGACGAGCTAGAAGATGCATGTACTTCCAGAAAACTTTTTCCTTGACTGTATTTTCCCAAGAGGATTTTAGCTAGCAGGCATTTCGGGTTTTTTAAGATTCTCCAAGATATTTTTCCCAGAAGTGCATCATTAAAGCACTGTATATCCTGTAGACCCAGTCCTCTATCTCTTTTTGACTTTGCCATTCTTTTCCAAGAGACCCAACACATTTTACGATCTTCAGGGTTTGAATCCCACGAGAATCGAGTAATTTGTGATTGGATTCTTTTGCATAAACTTGCAGGGAGCTTGAAGCAAGTCATGGAGTGGGTGGGGATTGCTGAAAGAACTGATTTTATCATCGTTAGCTTCCCCGCATTTGACAGGTTGACCAACCAGTAGATTTCTGCCTTATTCAATCAAAAATGCCAGAGAAGAGGTCTTTCTTGCGGCGACCAAAACTCTCCGGCAAGCCGAGGTACTTTCCTGTGCCACCTTCTCTTTCAATTCCTAAGGATTGTTTAACTCTGGTTCTTATCTCTTAAGGCGTCTTGCTAGAGAAAGTAATGGATGACTTTTCCTTATTTATTGTTTGCCCTGAGGCACTCTTGTACTTGGTGAGGATAGAGGTTAAGGATTCACAACATTGAGGCGTCGTTTTACAAAAGAACATGGTGTCATCAGCGAATAAAAGGTGGTTCAGATTTGGGAATCCTCTAGCAACTTTTATTCCTGGCATTAATCCACTCATTTGAGCTCTTTTGCAGAGATCGGATAGACCTTCGCTGCAAAGGATGAAGATATATGGTGAAAGTGGGTCACCTTGCCTAATACCACTTTGAGGTTCAACTTGTCCTTGAGCAGCTCCATTGATGAGGTATGCATATGATACCGTAGATACACATTGGAGAATCCATTTCATCTATTTTGTGTGGAAACCCATTCGCCATAATACCGCAATGATAAACACACATTCCAGCCTGTCATAGTATTTTGTAGCTTATGATGTTTTTAAAAAATATAGAGTCTCATGGGTGATTAACACGTTATCTCCAATGACTCTTGCAGGTACGAATGCAGACTGAGTCTCAGAGATGATTTTTGGCAGCAGTGGTCGTAGCCGACTGATGAGCATCTTCGAAACGATCTTATAGTACACATTTCACAAGGCTATGGGTCTGTACTCAGATACTGTTTTGGGGCTCGTGACTTTTGGGATGAGCCGAACGAAGGTACTGTTGAGAGTTTTTGGTAATCTTCCTGATGATAGTATTTCTTTGACTTCTTCCACTATTTTCTCTTTCATTAAATGCTAATTTTCTTGGAAGAAGCCTGCAGAGAAACCATCCGGGCCAGGTGCCTTGTCAGGGTGTATGGAGAAGAGGGCTTCTCTGATTTCCTCTGTAGAAGGTTTGGCGATGAGCTTTTCATTATCCTCTGTTGATACGTAGGGTTGGATTGCCTCTTCAACCACTTCAGAGCATCGTGAAGATTGTGATGTGAATAGGTCTTGATAGTAGGATGTGATAACCTCGGTGATTTCATTCTCTTCGAAGACAGATATCCCTTCTTTATTTTCTATGATTGAGAACTTATTAATGGTCCTCCTCCCTCTAGTAATCGCATGAAAGTAGCCAGAATTTTTATCTCCTAGTGCTAACCACATCAGTCGGCTTCTTTGTTTCCAGTAGCTCTCCTCCTTCTCGTAGGTTTTTTTCAGGTTCAGGTTAATCTCTTTTATCAGGTTCTCATCGTGCCTGCTTGAACTCATTGCCTTTTCCAGTTTTTGTTTCTCATCTTCAATGAGTTTTCTGCTGTTGGTGATGCTTTCTGTTCCATTGTGAAATGACTTTCCTGCATTTGGTTATCTTTTGTTCCACCGATTATTTTAGATATCTCTTCATTTTAGATATCTCTTCATTTTTGTCCATTATTCTATCATATCTGAAGAGATTGCCTTTCTTTTGTAGGTACGGTTCAAATAGGGAGACCAGAGGTCTGTGGTCCGAGCCCCCAAATTGTAGGTAATGACATCGACCTGAGGGATAGAGATCAGCCTATGCGCTATTTGTCATGGCTCACTCCAGACAACAATGAACTAGGTGAGATCACCTTATACCCCTCCAAGATAGGTAGTTCCCCACATGTCTTAGGTCATAAAGATTGTTTTGTGAGACAAAAGCTCTGAAATCTCCGAAAGTGCATTCAGCTCTGGGTGGACCTCCTGACTTCTCATCATTATCCAGTATGTCATTGAAATCTCCAGTCAGGAACCAGGGAAGATCTCTTCCTGCTGCCATATCGGTTAAGTTTTGCCACATTGCTTTTCGGTTGGCTTGATTTGGCTCCCCGTAGACAAAGGTTGCTACGAAGGTGTTGTTCTTGTGACTTATATTTGTGTCGATGTAATTATTGCATGCAGATGAGACACTCAGAGATAAGTCGTGCTTCCAGAAAAGTGCGAGTCCGCCTCCGCCAGGACTCTGAGGTGGAACGAAGAAGAGAGACTCATATGAAGTAAGATCGAGTTTTTTCTTTATAAAAGCTTCTTCATTTTTAGTCTCATTGAGGAAAACTATATCAGGATCTACTTTCTTTTGTAGCTCCCGTAAACGTTGGACTGTTGTGGGGTTCCCCAAACCACAACAGTTTTAACTCAAAATTGCTAAGGAAGAGGACCTGACGGATCTCGAAAATCCATTGAGTCCCTTGGAGGTGCAGGCGAGCTTCTTGGAGGTAAGCCGGAAGATGTAGAAATTTGCCTAGGGGCAGGGGTTTGACGATTTTCAGGTGCTGGACTCTGTCGTGGAGCTAGTGCCGCCAGGTTAAATCTTGTCGCTTGGTTCAGAACTTGTGGAAAGGCTCTGTTTATAACAACTCTGGAGAGGGGGGAGATCCTTGTGATTTTTGGTTTTTTCTTTCGTCTGACTTTCTCTTGGTTTCCTTTGCAGGGCATTTCAGAAGTCTTTTTGATTGGAGGTCGACCTCTCTTCTTATTGACCGGCTCCTGGTCCATTGCGGATAAGGAGTTTTCTTCATTTTGATTTGGGTGTTGTTCAATATCTCGCACTCTTGAGGGCTCTCCTCTGAAAAAACTGCTTTCTGTGTTGAGTTGGTCTTCACTCCTTGCAGAGATGATAGCAGCAGAAGTTTCAGCCATCATTCCTTTTTCTTCACCCTCCAGTACTCTTTTTAGTCTAGCAGCACTTTCGATAGGCTCTCCACAATTAACATATTGTATTGTTACTTCTTGCAGTTCCTCCATTACTTGGTTCACGAGTTGTTCTCTTGGTGGCTGAATGAAGTCGGCTTGGTCAAAATTTCTTTCCAGTGGAGGGTTGGTTGATGTAGGTTGAACTGGGGTTTCAGTGACTGTGTTCCTCGAGCTATGGGATTTTTTCCTCCAAATTTGGTTTCATATCGCTCGGGATCGAGGAACGTGGTGTTCAGCGTTGAGATTCTGCCCCCTTTGTTTGTGTTGAGATGGTTTCATTGGTGGTGATTGGTGTCGCTATGGCTGGTATCTTGTTCGCTTGTATTGGTGTGAATCAGCTCTTGTCGTGGTGTCTTTCGTATGCTGAGGTGTAGCTGAGAAGTTGTCGTCTTTGAAACCAGGTGAGTTTGCTCTTGTTCTGAGGTCAGATTTTTTAGATGGTCTTTCGCCAAAGTAGTTACCATGTCTATCCTGTCTTTTGGCATAGAGTTGCTAACGATCCGAGGATCTGGGTTTAGACATGCCAAAATATTCCTTCTGTAGAGTTCCTTTGGTTCGATCAGGTGAAGCATTTCTGGAAGTACGGAGAGGGGCCGTGTAGCGGAGCTTTGAAGGGCAAAGTTCCTTCTTGTGAGACAGCCTGAAGTAGTAGAAGAAGTGGTTTTGGAGTCTTTCGTAGTCCAAAGTTACAAGTGTTTCTCTCCCTCCTCCAAACTCCACTATTGCTTCCTTGGTGAGAGGTTGGAGACCATTTCCTTCCACCTTTATGCGAGCTGAGGTTTTCTTGACTTCATAATCCAATAAGATTCCAGCTTCTTTGCCTATTTTGCTGAGGAGCTTATCTTTCTAGTAGTGCAAAGGCAATCCCTTGAGTCTGATCCAAAAAGAGATTTGGGACGGGAAGTTCTGAGAGATAATCGGTTTCCATCTCTGGAGGATAATTATCCAGTTAGAGTAGTGGTAAGGCCGGCTGTCAAGGACATGGGTGAGGTTTTCTTCGAAGTCAAAGTGGAACTGGAAGCATCCATTCCCCAAGTCAGATCCGATTGCTTTTCCACGTAAGTTTCATCGGCGGTTGAGGAACGGTATTAGAGTCCAGATTCGCTGTTCTTCTGGATTTGTACGTCTTCTGATGAGGGTTAAGGCATTTTTTGCAATGGGGTCCGAGGTATCCAGCTCTGGAGCTCTGATCCTTTTTCTGGGTAGAGGCGGAGGGAGCGGTCGATTTCTTTCCCTTTTTCTTGAATGGTGTAGCCCCGAGCCATAGTGAGATGTTTTACTGCCTTTGAGGGAGATTTGCAATGGGGGTTCTAATATGGAGAGGAGATGATAGCTGTGGAGACGCAGCAGGAGGAACCAAGGCAGAGAGCAACGTACCGTCGAGGATTATGGACCCTCCGACCACCGTCGGGGGTGGAACCGCGGTTTCACGACACCAGAGGTGGTTTTGTTTCAAAAAAAATACTATTTTAGCAAAAACAGGGTAGATGTATCCAAAACCGGGGACAACCCAAGGTGGTTGGAATCTACCTAGGAAACCGGGCCAGGGAAGTTTTTTGGTCAATCTAGATTTTTTTAGGTAGACTTATTAGAACTTGGAAGTTACTCTATTGATAAACTCAAGTGACAAGGTTTTTCTGATGAATTCTCTTATAAATTTATTAATTACCAATTGGTTTTGAGTTAGAGTTTATATAATTTAATAACATATTAATATATTAACAAGTAAATGAAATCTCAAATTAAAAGCTTAATCATTAAAACATCATTACTTCATTAGTCACTAAAATCAAGTTCTTCAGAATGTATTGCAGAATGTATTGCCATGAAGAAGTTATAGGAATTATCTAAGAGCATGTGCATCGGTAAAAATTCATAAGAGTTTTTAAAAGATATTTTAATATTAAAAGTTAAGTCAAAAAGTAGAAAGAAAGAGAATAAAAAATAAAAGATGAGAAGAAGGGAAAGAAAGAAAGCGATTTCCCCCAATAAAAACTTGACATGTTATCTTTTCTCTCTCTATTATTTTGTTGACCAACCAAAACGTGACACCTGTGCAAGAAGGATCGATCTTTATGATCTTTAGTTAGGGATTGATCCTTGTAATAAAACTCGTTTTTCTTTTTCTTTTGGGTCATAAATTCATTAGAAATTCAGGGAGAAACTCCCAATAAACATGGTCTAAGGGGTTAAAATGATAGTAGTTGATCCAACTAGAATCTGATGTTACATATTTTGACTATGGAAGCCTCCAGGGAAGCTTAACTGATCTTGTCAGCTTCTGAAATATATGTTGATTGGTTAATTAATTTGATTCATTTTATAATCGTTGCTTGAGAATATCCGACACACGTGGCGCCTTCATCTCCAACCATGTTGTCATTATGAAGGTAAATATTCTTTCCATAATTGACAAAATAAAACAAAAGAAACCTCTAAGTAATTATAAAAAAAATTAGAGGGTTATAAACAAAGTAGCGTGGATGTTAACTCAAACAACAATACAGAGGTCGTGTGGCTATCTTAAAGCGTAAGGGGGCATAAATTGACAGCTATAAACCCAACATATAAATTATATTAGTAATAATCTATATCCATAAAAATTATTATTCCATTTAGTAATCATATTTGGTCGTGCGTGCAAGGATTCTCTCGAGTACACGAATCATCGGAAAAAAACTTGTAATACTTTAACAAAGTTACATATTTGGCAACACCAATTCTCCTCTGGAGATGAGCAAAAACAGTTCTCCATGTATGAAAAAATTAAATCTCTATATTTTATGGAAAGCTGTTAAAACAAAGATTAATTGTCCTAGCAAAATGAAAAGAAAAGCTAGAAGTGCAAAAAAGAGGATACATAGTAAAAATAGACCAATTTCAGTATATTGAAACAAAAGAGATATATGATGTGCTCATAATCACATCAGCTGAAAAAAAAAAACATAATCTTACTTAGGAGACAGGAGTGCATACCGAGCGGAGATTTTGCATTTTGGTGGTATTACTTATCTTCTCCACCTATTTTACCGAGCCCCAATCTTAGTAATAAACAATACTATCACTAATTCGTATAGTTAATATGTTCATTTAGGTAGATGATGATTAGGAAACTAAACGCTCAAAATGTTGACGACCAAACGCCTTTCTTAACAAATTTGCATGAAAACAGTTTCAGAATGGTTAGTCCATTCATGAAATACTAGATTTGCTGCAATGTGAATTGCTATTTGAATATCACAAAACAGATGAACCAGTTCTTGTTGGGGAAAACCAAGATTTGAAAAAACTTGGCTCATTCACATAATTTTTGAGAGATCATTATGCATAGACATGTATTTAGCTTCAGCAGAATAAGGAAAAACAATGAGCTGCTTTCTAGTTTTCCAGGATATCGGTTAGCCTCTAACTGGAACATCACATAGGCATTTAACAGTCATCTTGTCATCAGACAAGCAGTCAAGTAGCCTAGTCCGAGTCACAATATGTCGTGGGGTTTAAGTTAGAATCAGAGATACAAAGTACGTTGAATAACAAGATATGGTAATTGGTGTCATTCTCCATTTTTAGTGACTTACAGAAATCATTTTTAATTTACTTAGGAAGGAACTGTGTTTTGATAAGAATGGGTTATGGCATTTCCACGCGCACGATCAGCCGTCCGTTCATTGACTTAAACCTAATCAAATCTGGCTGTTTTTTTTTTATGTCAGCTTATAATTAGTAATTAGTTTATAGTCTCCTTTTTTATTAATAAATTAATTAATTAGTAATATCAACAATAACTGTCTCGTTCAACAATCGAGTCACCTCTTCACATCTCTCATTCTCGCTCCCCTGAAAACATTAGAGTTTTTAAAACATCACCATACGATATGATAACTATTTGTAGTCTACCTTAAACAATATGATATAACTCACAATCTTTTTTCACTCAAATCAAGTTTGCATGAACTTCACCGAAAGTGATTGATCATAATTATTTGAATTTCTTAAACTTTAAACGAATTATTATTTTTAGTTCGTGTACTAAATTCTTTGCAAAAGAAAATATCACTATCTATCAAATGGGTCTTATGGTAGTGGCACAGGTCCCTCCAGCAGGAGATTTGCACCCTGGTATTATTCCTAAATGACGTATATTTCCGATCAGTGATATTTATAAGACTGTGCGTTCTTAATTTTACTTGGAAAATTGCATGACCTAAATAGGTGAGGAAAGATTCATATAATTTCTTGAGGTCCAAATGGTAGTTTCCCATCCCTTGTTTTGTACAGCAGATTTAAAAAAATACAGTAAGGAATCAAGTGTAGTAAGTTTAATTGAAAAGCACCAAAGGCGAAGTCGAGAGATAGTAGAATCAAGTTGCACTTAGAACATGACCATATTACATGTCCTGGACCTACAAAAATGTAGCACTACCAGTACCAGGGGAAAACGACAAGATTTTCGACGGTTTTCAGAAGGCCCAAGGAATTGTCAGACACTTTCGCAGGAATAGTCAGAAATTTTAAACTGATAGAGAAATCCGACAAAAGTTTCCCATAACTTTCTGACGGCCAAAATATAGCTGTTATTATAACCATCTTTATAGTGGTTTGAAAGTCCACTGAAAATTTCTGAAAATCAAATATAAAGCCCTTCCACCCTTATTCACAACAGTCAGGGCTGTGCCTATGTAGTAAGTTTTGAAACATTGGCCTAGGGCCAAAATTTTTTTTAACATTTTGAAAAGTTTATTTATTTTTACCAAAAATATAAAATATTATAATTTGAAAGGTATATATATACTTTTAAAGCTTAAAAATAGATATTTTCATATTACAGCATAGTTTCTACAATTATCTCATAATAGTTAAAAACAAAATTAAAATATCAAAACAAAACTAAAATATTAAAACAAAAATAGTATAAGATTTAAAATCTCTAACTGTGGTATTTGTATATTTTTCTCTCTTAATTTTTTTTGTGTTTTTGGAAATTTGTTTAGGATCTCAATTAATGTGGGCACGGCTCTGACAACAGTGCATAAAAAACACTAGAAATGGCTTCATCAAATCCTTATAATTATCTCAGTTTTGGATGGACAAATCTCAGATACAGTGACAGGGCAACTTACATTCGAGTTTGTAGAAGGTATTAAGCAATTCATGGAATTTGCGACAAACCAAGAAATAACCTTGCAAACTGGTAATATGTATTTCTATGTCCTAAATGTCAGAATCATAGATTTATCTTTGAACCTACAGTATATATGTGGTCACTTGTTAATTAAGAAGAGGGTTTTGTTCGGTTTTAAAGTTTGGTATTGGCATGGAGAAAATAATTGAATGGTGGATTATGGTAGGGTACTGAACCTTATACTATAGGTTAGAGGGATAAACATGAAAAGTAGATAAAAACGTAGGTTTTATTAATATGATGAATGATGCTTTTTGTGAAAACATAACATTGTTTTTGAGGATGGAAATAGAATAGGAAAACTTAATGTAGAAGTTTAAAAGTTATTTGATATCTTAGACGCAACTAATCAAAGGTTGTAGAGAAAGTTATTCGTCTTTTTCTGCTGTAACGAGATTGATGACAATTAAGACGGAATTTTTTTTTTCTGATTGTAGACTTGCTCAGCCGATTTCTCAATACAACTATACACTAGTTATAAATTTGTATAAAATGATTTTGGGATTGATACATTACAATGGTCTTTTCTCCTAGTTATTTCGGGATTGATACATTACAATTCTTTATATTCATTATTTTCTTCATCAATATTTATTAATATTGTAATAGGTACATTTGAATTCGGATGTATATAGTTATGATCTTCTTCCTTTTATTTTAGTGTCTTTAATTAACTTCACATCTTATACGCAAAACATGCTTATTCAATTTAACTATCGGAGGATGTATCGACTTACCAATGACTTAAGACAAATAACTTTAACTCAAGCTTAAAAGATTTTGAGAAAGACAAAAATTTCTTTAAGCTCAATAATTAGCTGTTCATATCTAAGGGTATCAAGACCTGGTTACAAAAATACTTTATTCCAATGATAATTATAATGTTTGATTGGTTGACATATAAATTATATCCATTACTTCTCATGATCCTATATATATATACACACATCATCAAACTCCTCTCAATCATTCCTTCATTCATTTCTCATATAATCGAGCTGTAATTAAAGATTAATTCTCTTGATAAAGTCGTTTAGTGCTTTATTCTCAAAAAATGGAAACCATGGGAGAATGGAGTACCGGCTTAGGCGGAATGTATACAGAAGAAGCTGATTTCATGAACCAGCTTCTTGCCTCGTATGATCACCCCTGTGGTGGATCGTCCTCAGAGATAACAGCAACAACCGCCGCATACCACCGCCAGAACTGTGTTCATTGGACTGGCGGCAGCTTTTGCTTTTCTGAAGAGAGCAGTAGCTACAGCGCCGGGAACTATAGTTACTACGCGGTTATGCCACCACAAGAAGAAAACAACAATGGGATGAAGGATGTAACGATCAACACGAACTTGTACCTGGTGGGTGAGGAGACGAGTGAATGCGACGCGGCGGAATATTCTGGTAAGAGCCTTTTGCCTTTGGAGACTGTCGAGGAGAAGCACGACGATAATATGCTGCAGTCTGAGACCTTATTGGCTACGACTGATGATCAGAAACTGTTCAACCCATGCGAGAGTTCCAAGAAGAGGTCGCGTGGCACATCTTCAGACGTAAGTTGTATATTTGTTTTTTTAATATATATAGAAATAACTAATAAGTTTGACAGAATTGGTCTCAATATCTTGCATTAATTTAGTTCCAAATTTTGGTTTACTCTCGATTTTGTTTCTACTTTTGAGAAAAAAATGTAAGACACTTTTCATGTCTGTTTATTTAGTTTTGAACGTAGAGACGCCAAGTGAACCAATAAGGAAGGAGTGAAACTTTTTTTTATATATATACGAGTTTCTACAATACAAATGGCCCCCAAGTTACTATTACATTTTGAATTATGGCCATGAAATGTTTTACTTTTAAAAAAGCTTGCCATTGACTTATTGTTCCTAAGCTTAGGCCGTAGGCACGCTTTGGAGTGATCGCACATACTAATTTCTTAAAATTGTGGTCGCAGCCATAGTTCATATATTTCTTTTGTTCTTATAACCAAATCAGAAGAACAAGAGAGCCAGTAAGGCAAGGAGGAATCAGAAAAGCATGGAGATGAGTGACGATAATAACAATAACGACGAAGAAGAACAGACGACAAAGAAAGCTGCAGCGAAGAGAAAGACCAAACCACTTAAGCTGCAAAAGACTTGTTGTTCAGACGAGGACGAATCAAACGGTGGAGACACTTCCTCTTGCAAAGAAGGAGGCGACGACTCTAAATCTCTCAACCTCAGTGGCAAGACTAGGGCTAGCCGGGGCGCTGCCACCGATCCTCAAAGCCTCTACGCAAGGGTAAGTTTTACATATATTTATATATTAAGGCTTCAGTTTTTCTAAACGCATAAATGTATACCAAACATTCAAAGAAAATGTATTATATATATATATATATATATATTAAAAAAGCATAGTTCTCTGGTATATAAAAGTTCTTTTTTTTTTACAACATAAAAGTTCTTCTTTTTTCGCAAAATATAAACGCAAAAGGTCAAATCTAAATGAATGTCTTCTTTTAAAAATTAATAAATATTATACTAGGATGGAATAGATATATTTCAACAAATATTCACTAGATATTAAAACAAGCAAACAAATAAAAAAAATCGAGATGAGTCTTTCTTATGATATATAGGAAATTTATTAAAACTATGTATGCATAACTATGTATGCATTATGTAAAAATAATAATATTTCTTGTGATGGTGCAGAAAAGAAGAGAGAGGATAAACGAGCAAGCTAAGGATTTTGCAAAACCTCGTCCCTAATGGAACAAAGGTAATTCATGCAAACATATTAGAAGAAATTACTACGTGATAGCATCAATTATTAAAACTTGGTTACTAGAATTTCAATTCTTTTTTAAATGTGTTAAATATGGAACAGGTCGATATTAGCACGATGTTGGAGGAAGCAGTACAATACGTGAAATTTCTGCAGCTCCAAATTAAGGTACGTTAGGTTTTCAATTATTTGATGACGGCATTATATATAAACAATTACAGTATACCGTAAGTTATGTTTTAACAAATATAGAGAATTAAATGCTAGTATTTATTATGAATAATTTTTACAGTTGTTGAGCTCTGATGATCTATGGATGTACGCTCCAATTGCTTACAACGGGATGGATATTGGCCTCGATATGAAACTCAACTCACTCATATGATTCAAGAGAGACCTTTCGGATTTTAATTCTAAGTTTATACAGATATATAAATAACCTGAGATGTATATATTTTTCTTTTCTTACAGTTCGATTATAAACTCTCGTAGGATATCAAATGAATGGAGGGTCACATTTGACGTTTTATACTCCAGTCTTATCTATTATATTAAAACAAAAGCACATTTAGTACTTGCTTCTAAACACTCCTAATTTTTTTTAAGTGTTTAAAAATAATTTTAATAATTATTTATATTTAATTTCGAAAATTATTTATTAATTTAAATATTCTTAGAATTCCTTAAATATAGGTAATTTAGATTTGATTTGATTTGATTAAAAATAACAAATCAGATATTAATTTAGATTTGATTTAAAGATTCTAATTTAAATAATTTCTATACTATTAAACATTTTTATCAAAAATATAAAACATAATTCACATATAAAAAATAATGGTCATATTTGAAATATAAAATATTTTTATAATGATGTAAATGATATGATATTTATGTTGCTTATATAATATATTTATGATTATGATTTATTTACAAATTAATAATAAAATAATAGGTAAAATTCAAATGTATAATTTAAATATTAAAAATATATTTTTTTAAATTCATAGAACTAAAAATATATAAAAGAAAACCAGGTTAAAAATATTTTGGTAACTAAAATCACTAATTTTGAATTATACATATATATCAAAAATATATTTTCCATACAAAATCAAAACATAAAAAAATTAAAAATTATTGCATGCACTATAATGTGGTTTGAAAAACCAGTTGTACACTCCTTTCGTTGATTAAATTTTAGAAAACTATAATGCTAAGTAATACTGTTAATACATCTCAAATTTTTAACAAATATTTATATTATACGGTAATATAAACGGAAAAGTTAGAATTATGTTTTTATAATAGTTTATTTTGAATTATTATTAGCGGACAGGTTAAAATTATATTTTTATAATCATAATTAATTTTAATATTAAAAAAATATATCTAAACACAAAAATCAATATTTTCACTTATTAAAAAATATATTTATAAAAATAATTATATCTAAACTCAAAAACTCAAATTATATTACAAAATTCGTTAAACAATAAAAAATATTCTCGTGCGGATGCACGTGGTTAGAATATAGTTTTACTTTACTGTGCAAGTCATGTTATGCCAACATTTTTGTGATTCTAGATATTGTACAACATCTTTTTGTAATGGATTCGTTTATTTTTTTTAATTATTTTTGGGTTCATAAATGGATTTGTTTGTGTTGTACACGTACGTAAGTGGTATAACCCGTATTTAATAATTCTCTTAGACGCTTTTAATCTCCTTTGGGTTTTTTCAATCATTGCTAATTTATTGAAAAACTTGTTTTTTTTAATCAACAGTTTTGTAGTAGTAATTATATATATATATATATATAGCTCTCACCATCTTAAAAGCTTGAAAAAAAAATTCTTAAACCCCTGTAAGAGAGAAACAAAATTCTCTGAATCCATATAAAATATCAAATGTCTTCCGGTAATGATATATATATATATATATATATATATATATATATATATATATTTATATACCTATACGAACTAGGAAAGTGGATGGAACGGTATAGATCTATACGATGTTATGCCATGCAAGAAGTGCGAGAATACTAAAGACCATAAAATGTTACTTTGTGTAGATGCCTTTATTCAATAAAATGTTACTTTGTGTTGCAGTATTTTGTGTATTTTGTTTAGTTTCAACATGCAGAAAAATATGGTTGGAATGGGAAGTGGTTGGGATGGGGTAGGCAGTAGTAGTAACAATAATCAAAGTGTTGTTGATGAAGAATCTAATATTATGCATGATCTTCATAACTAATTCGATTATCATCACTCATCAGGTTGTGCATAAAAAAGTATATTGGAAACTACATATATAAATGTTGAGTAGGCTTAATTCTTCACCCATATTATATACAGAGCATAACAAGAAGATTTAAAATACAAAACGGACAACAAAAATGATGAGATTATAATTATTTTAAAACTCGTGATTCCGTAAAAACAGCCATTAATTTGCTTAATTTTGTACTCTGGCTGTTTAAAATATAACTTTGACTGTGGAAGAACAAATGCGTGCGCTTGAAGGTAACCCGTAAACTAAATTATTTTAGGCCTGAAGATAACCCTTGTGTTCTAAGTATGCAACGACTGTTTCAGCCATTTCGATCGGAGAAGTTCCAGTTGCTTCGTGTCCTAGAGCAATCTTCACAAAACAGAACACAAGAATATACGTAAGACGAGAATGACGGGAAAAGAGCAGGATCTAGATAAAGAACAAAAGTGATTTCCTGTTCTTGCAGTATCACATTCTCTTTACAACAAAAACAAAACAAAACATTATTAACATTTACCTCGCAATTCAATGGTGGCTCGTAAGGGTCATCTATCCCGGTAAAACCTGAAGAAACATTTCAAACGATAACATCATTTGGGGATTTCATGGTGATAAAATCAGGTTACAGAAATACCAACTGCATTTCAAGAGATACCTTTGATCTTTCCTGCACGAGCAAGCTTGTACAGACCCTTTGGATCCCTAGCCTCACAAACTTCAAGCGGTACATCCATAAACACCTAATTGATCAAAAACCAAATTTTCCTCAAAGCTCGAAACTTTCACATAGAAACTACAAAACCCACCCTTGTTCTCCAATTACCTCAACAAAATCTCCTTCCGGGAGTAAAGTTCGACAAGCGTCCCTGTCTCTTCTGTAAGGAGATATTAAACTTGCAATGCAGATGATTCCAGCATCTGCAAAAAGCTTGGCAACCTCTCCTAAACAAAGCAAATACCAACAGCATGTCAATATACAAAGCTAAACAACAATAGTAAACATTGGTTGTATAGTTATGCTCACCGACTCTACGAATGTTCTCTGCCCGATCCTCCGCTTTAAAGCTGAGATCACGGTTTAGACCATGCCTTACGTTATCTCCATCAAGAATATAACATAGCTTTCCCTTTTGGTACAACTTCTGATTCAATGCACAAGCCAAAGTGCTCTTCCCTACAAACACAATAATGTTTAGATATCACATAGAACCAAAACTTAATCTTTTGAAACAATTTGATTGCTACACGAACCTGAACCACTAAGACCAGTGACCCAAATCACGCATCCTTTCTGATCAAGCAATCTCTGTCTATCAACTTTCTCAACAGGGCATTCATGCCACTTTATGTTCGTCGAGTTTCCAACCGTAGACAATGGTCCTTGTTTTTGTCCTAATGCAATAACAAAGAACAAGAAAGTAAAATCAAATTTGTGATGTGTAAAGAACAAATGAAGGTCAAACCAAAAATTGAATTACTCAGACCATTTCTCTCCCAAAATTCTTAACAAATCAAAAGCTAAAATCATATAACGATTGTCCTAATGTAGACAGACAATGGGCATCGTTTTTGTTCTAATCCGAAAGATATACCAGAAAGTAAAATCAAATTTCCCCAAATTTGTTGAATTTTGTGATGTGCGTAAAGAACAATGAGAGAGAAACCGAAAATAGAATTACTCCGACATTTTTTCCCCCAAACTTTTTAACAAATCAAAAGCTAAAATCATTCATGAATGTCCTAATGTAGACAGTGAACCTTGTTCTTGGCCTTATCCGAAATAAATTCAAGAAAGTATAATCCGTTTTCCCCAAAATTTGTGACCCAAAATTGATGATATATGTAAAGAACAAAATGCAGGAGAAACCAAAAATTGAATTAGCCAATTTCTCCGAAATTCTTAACAAATCAAAAGCTAAAAATCATTCAAATATTGTCCTAATGTAGACAATGGACCTTGTTTTTGTCCTAATCCGAAAGAAATGCAAGAAAGTAAAATCTTTTTTCCCCTAAATTTGTGACCCAGTTGAGAAATTGATGATATATGAAAAGAACAAATGAAACAGAAACCAAAAATTGAATTACCCAAATTCAAAGCTAAAATCGGCGAGATAGTCGGATCAAATCAAAATCTGTGAAAACGAGAAACGAAATCTTATATACCTATGTGACCATTAATAGATTTCAGCTCAGGAATAGATCCATTTTTGTTATGACTCATCGTTTGAGATCCTTCCATGGAAACACAAGCACGAAGAACACCAATAGATCTCGAATTGCTATCGGAAGGAATCCCCTTGGGAGATGATGCAATCGAAAGCCCTAAAATCGATTTAGCTCCGGCGGCGATCATATTGAAATCGGAAATTTAGAAGCGAAACCGGAGAAGAAGCGGTAATTTTTTTTTCTTTTCTAGTGAATGTTGGAAATTTAATTAAGGATTGAAGAAAATGTGACCGTTAAAAAGAGCGATTATTGGGTAGGTGAACTGGTGAAATGAAAATGTTGTTGGACACGTTTTTTTGCAATTATCGCATTATTAGTTGATTATAAAAAAAAACGTCGTCTTTTTGGTATCATGTATCTATTGTTAAACAAATGTACTTAACATGGATTTGCATCTAGATTCCTAAAAGCAGAATTAGAAAAGTGTGGTATGTATTGAAGAGAGAAAACACAACCATTAAATTTGGAGGAAGTGAATCTATGTTGGTCCATCAGGAATTGATGTTTTGGTGTATAGATTAGAGAAACACTCAAAATAATATATGTTTTACATCACTGATTTAATATTTTATATATTTGCATCATTACAAATAAGATAAAAGTATTTTCCATCAATTAAATAAGTAATTTTAATATAATAAATACAATATTAGTTTAAACAATCAATGTAAATTTTTTATTTGTATTGCTTTTTTTGAAAAAATCAAAATATTTACATCAATTAATATAAATAAATTAAATATTTACTACGATAATAAAATTGATTATAAAAATTTGTATTAATGTTTTTTATATCATAAATATCTTATATGTTAAATAAATAATTTTAAAGCAGCTTCTTTTCTGATGACCGGTTTGCCGGTTCCAATGCGGCTGATTCCATCTGATGACATCCCTCTTTCTTCTCAGTCAATCGACACATTCCCTGCTCAGGATGTAGTCATAGCTGACTCATATCTGATTTCCCCTGTAGCTGGTTCTGGTTTTTCTTCTTCTCTCAAGTCTGATTTACCTGCGTTAATGGCTCCTAACTCGGCCTCCGAGAAAAGAATCTTGGGTGAAACGCCTTCTTCTCTTCCCTTCTCCACTGCTAGTTCGCCCTCTTCTCTCTTAGGGAAGCCAGTCGATTCTGTTTCAGCTCAAGTAGCTGGCTCTGGTGCAGTAAACTCAAATCTCTGAAGTCTTTCTTCTTACAATTCTTCTGAATTCAATTGGGCCTCTCGTTGTAAGGGAGCTAGCAAATTCCCGAATACAACAGCCGATGTTACCGTCATGGCAGATGGTATTTCTCGTGTAAAGGTTCCAAATGTAGTCTTCGAGAGAGGAGTGCGTATTCACTCTGATTATATTGTGGGTATCTTCTACGACAATACTCCTTTGTATAACAAAGTATGAGGAATTATCAATTATCTTTGGGGAAAGGACCGAAGGGTGATAAACCTCACTAGAAATGCGTTCTTGTTTCATATACCCTCTGTCTCTTTTCGCAATAAAATCCTGCAACATGAGCTCTGGAGAGTCGGGATTCCTTTTTCTTCGTCATGGAGTGGAAAGCTTCTTTTAGCCTTGATCCTCCTTCACTGCAAAAGGCTCCAATTTGGGCAATTCTGAACCAAGTTCCTTTCGATCTTCTCACTGAAGAGGGGTTAAGTTTCATCACTAAACCGCTGGAAAAAATATTGTGGGTGCAAAACCTTTTCCTTCGGCGAGTTCTGCGCAGGTAAAAGTTGTGGTTGACTTTGCATTACCTCTTCCAAATTTTGTGGAAGTGGAACGAGAAGATGGGGAGATTGTTACCCTATCTGTCTCTTATCTTTGGCTCCCCCTTTCTGTTCAGTCTATAACAAATTTGGACACAAACCTTCCCTATGTCCTAAGTCAATCAAAGGCAAGGAAGATACGTCAGCGATCTAGAAGACTGAGAATTCAGTAAAGGGTTTAAAAAGTTCACAATCCAAAGAGACAATTAGTGATGATGTCATGATGGTAAATAGTTCATCTCTGGTTGAGCCTGTGGGAAATAAGTTGCAGATGGCAGCTCAAGTGGAGAGTGTAATCCTGGATTTATCAAATGATCCTTCAGAGCTAAAAGAAACTCCTCTTGAGTCGGTTTCTTTGGCGGTTTCTGATGCTCCTGGAGACTCAGTACCCTCTCCTCACAAAGATTTAGTGAAAGCTCAACCGATTTCAGTGCCATTTTAATCTGTTGTGAAGAAAGTTTCACCCTTGGATTTAGAACAGCACTCGAAAGTTCCCGCAGATGATGATCAATCATTTAAGCCAGCTTTGAATACTGTTCCAGCAAAAGCATTGGGAGACATTATTCCTCAAAACAAGATCCTGTTAGCAACAAATCCTTATAGCCTGCTGCATGAGAAATTTGAATTGATTACGGTTGAAGTTGAGGAAGCAATCACCATCTTACCTGCTCTTTCAGTTCACAATAGTGGCTCTTCTTCATCGTAATCTTCCTCCAAGCAGAAGAAGAAGAAGAAGAGAAAGGTAACCTGCCAGCGTTCTATGGTGATTTTAATGAGATTTTGATGAGATTTTGACTTCCCTGGCCCATCCATGGCTAAATTATCTGCTCATCCATGGCCAATTTGTGGTGATTTTAATGAGATTTTGACTTCCCCGGAATTATCAAATCCAAATCTTCTTTCCTCAACCTCGGGCATGAGAAACTTCAGCCAGTGTTTAGACAACACGGTCCTCTTCGATCTCCCTTCTCAAGGTCCAAGGTTTACCTGGTCAAACTGTCCTTCTAATCTCGTGGCAAAGAAGCTTGATAGATGTTTGGTTAATGTCAATGGATTCTTGATCTCCCTTCTAGTCTGCACTTTCATGCCCCCTGATTTCTCTGATCATACGCCATGTCTCATCAAGCTCAAGTCACAGCCACCTTATTTTGGTTCCAGGCCTTTCAAGTTCTTTAATATTCTAACAAAGCTCTCTCACTTTGTGGTTTTAGTTGCTGGTCTATGGTCTTATTATGGTGACGCAGTTACTAATCTCTCAGATTTGAGCCATAAAATAAAACAGTTGAAAACTATGCTAAAGGAGAGCTTTGGTGAAATTGAGAAGAGGGTCTTAGAAGCGCAGAAAACATTGCACAATCTGCAGCTTCTCTCTCTAGATGATCCCTCTCCTTATAATATCAGTCAAGAAAAAATTGCTCGGGATTCTAGGTTTTCTCAGAATTGCAGAGGAAAGTTTTTTCAGGCAGTGCTCTAGTATCAAATGGTTGGAAGAAGGAGATTTTAACATGAGTTTTTTTCATAGTGTTACTAAAGCAATGAATGCTCAAAACGCTGTAAATGATATCCTAAGGCTTGATGGCACACGGTCAGATTCATTGGAGGAAGTTCATCAGCTTGCTGATAATTTTTTCTCAGATTTATCACGGTCCATAAGAGGTGACTACTGCCCCTTTCTCCCTGATTATCTGGGCAGGCTTATCTCCCTTCATGTGTCTCTGGTTCAGAGTGCTGCTCTCTCGAGTGATGTTTTGGCTTAGGAGATAAGGTCTGCTTTGATGCGCCTTCCTCTAAATAAATCGCCAGGGCCTGAAGGGTTTCCTGCAGAATTCTTTAGAACTTCATGGCATTTCTTGGGTCAGGAATTCATTGCGGCAGTGCAAAATTTCTTCTCTACATCGTTTATGTCTGCTTCTATCAACGCTACTTCCTTGGTTCTGATCCCCAAGCGTCAAGGGGCGGAGGATCTAAAGGATTTCAGACCGATCTCATGCCTAAACACTACTTACAAAGTGATTTCACGCATTCCTCTGATTGGCTGAAAGCAATTCTCCCTTCTATTGTTTTGCCAAAGCAGATAGCTTTTATCAAGGACAGGTTATTGCTAGAAAATGTGCTTCTAGCTTTTGAGGTGTTACAGGGATATCATCTGGACTCTATAACTCCCGGAATTACCTTAAAGGTGGACATATCAAAAGCTTTTAGTTCAATTCGGTGGGATTTTTTGCTTGTTAAGTTGTCTGGATATGGGTTCCCAGATCAGTTCATTAAATGGATCAAAGCACATATCTGCTCGCCGAGTATCTCAATTAGTCTGAATGGAGTGACTTCTAGTTATTTCAAGGGGTGTTCTGGTCTGTGATAACACCTGATTTTGACCACTTTTATGGATCACTTTCAATATCTTATGCAGGTGTTTTTACTCAGCTTTAAAGGTTTTATAAATGTTTTCCATGTTTTGGAGTTTTTAAAAGGCTTTTCAGGAAACTTGGGACTTTGGAGTGCATTTTAGAGCAAAAGTACATTTTTGGATAAATTCAGGCCGTCAGAAGTTTGGCAACCAAAGTAGATCATCCCCAAATTTGGAGACATTATAGAGGAGACAACCAGCTTTACAAAACACTTGGAATCAAAGCAATCCAACAGTTAGATCTCAAGATATCATCAATGCACTGAAGGCCGATCAACACAAGCCCAGTCAAGCACAAGTGTTTTCACCTGCGGCCAGCCTTCTTCCCACCGCGGCTCAGGAGGTTTCACCCCCGGTGGACCTATGTCCGAACCTCAAGAGCCCAACTAAGGCCCAAGACACTTCCTGCACCCATTTTACAAGCCCTAGACGCCCAAGACTTGGAGAAACACTATAAATACTTATTTTTTTAGGTCTTTTGTAGGAGAGCCTCTTTCTTCTCTTTAAGAGAGAACTCATTTTGTAGTTTTAGGTTTATTTTTATGCATTTGTAGAAGCTCTCCATCGCCATACTGCCTTCAATAAGAGAAGTTTTTCTGCAACTTTGTTTCTTTCACTTTTCTTCTTCTTAGTTCTAAACCGATGATGATGTCTACCTCAGCCATGTCTGAGTAGTCACCTAGTTGGGTGAAAGGGTAATACAAAGGGACCCCATATTTGAATGACATCTAAGTTTTTAGGAAAAAAATATTTCAATTTTTAACATGATTCTCCCATTCATCTAATTCTCAAAGCGGTAATTCCGGATTAATCACCCAGAATCCGATCCTAGGTTTAATCCGAGCCACGAGAGTGTTGTATCTGGGTTGCCTGAACTGGATCTTATGGACGTCCCCATCGTAGGAGACGAAAGTTACCTACGGAGGATACGTAAGCAGAGATGGATTCCGATCTACAAAGCATGATCTTGTTCTGGCATGAGAGCGAGAGTTAATTGCCATGAACAAGTGATTAGATGATTAGGGTGACGAGAGTTGGCTAA